TTTTGGTTTGTCTGCAAAATGAGCTAAAACAGCCTCTTTTAACTCAACTTTGCACAGGTGCAAAAGACGCACGCCTCTGGACAGTTTCCCTCAACGTTTTACACGTATGTAGTCTCGCAATTTATGCAATCATATTGCGTAATATTTACCATTGACAGTGGTATTAGTTTCTTTAAAATTTATCAAAAGAATTCCTTCACAATCAAAAAAGATCGTGGCCATCACCTTTTTTGTTGACTGGCAGACTCTGAATTTTCTTGGAGGTGCTTCACCCTTAGGACGCCACTCCATTGATTCTTTTTTCGGTAGAGGGTCATAATAGAGAACCATAGTTTCATCTCCCGTCACAATAGTTTGTATCATAGGCTTCGGTTCCGATCCAAAGAGTTTAAAAAAAGACCGCGCACACTCGACACGGCGTTGTTTTTGAATTGCCGAAAGGTTTTTAGGAACCCATCTTGCACTAATCTTATGCATACCTAAATGATCATGCAGGATTCGACGAATACTTGTATCAGAAATTTTAGTAACTTATGAGATTTCCTTGACTTTTAAACGTCGATCACTCAATACCACCTCTTCCGAAATCGCAACAATATCTTCCGTTATGATCTCCACTGATCGACCAGTTCTTGACTCATCTTCAAGGGACTCCTACCCCATTCGAAAACGTTTTGGCCATTTTTTCACTACAGAATACGAAGAAGAACTTTGGCCATACACACCATCCAGCCTTTCTTTAATAATTTTAGGTGCTAACCCTTCTTTTGTCAAAAACTTTATGACTGCTCTATACTCAATTTGCGTTATTTGCGACATTTTTTCGGACACGTCTTGTTTAAAATGCTGTCAATAAGAAACTATTTGGCGCAGCCTACTAAGATATATATTTAAAAGAAGACAAAGTTTTATCGTGATACTGGAGCTGCCTCTATGTCAGGCCGGGAAATTTTGGCGCTAACCTCGTATATAATTTGTGAGTGTCCGTTTATTAGAGCTTTCACTACACATTATATGTGTACAAAAAAACAAAGTTCACGATCGGCACAACGTGTTTGCAAAGTGAACTCCTGCGTGAAACAACGAGTTAAAAATAGAGGCAATACATCGTACACGGAAAATCCGTGTCATAACGGATGCACAGATGTATGAATAATTCGTTAGCCGCTTCCAAAACTGTGTTTGCGTTCCTCCTTTTCGGACCCCGCAGCCAGTCTCGGTTTAATTTGCCCCGAAACAATGTTTTTTCCGTTATTGTTATCGGCACAGTAAATTGATTAATACGGATTCGCCGGATGTTCGCCGTTTTTCGATTACGAACTTGTTTTTTTTTTCTGGCGGGGCTCGAAAAGACCGCCGACGAATTCACAAATCGAAGCCTCGCATCGCACCTTCGAATCCGGATTATTTGCCACGCAGTGAAACGCAAGTGGTGTAACCGTATGGTCTGATTTGGAAATTGCTGGTATTTTAAAATGACGAATTCATTTATAATGGACTGCCGGATAAAACAAGATTTTTCTTTTTATAACGAAACACAAATGCTATTTCACCGCTGGGGATTCACCGAATTCTGTAAGCGCTCGCCGCTAGAGAAATATTGAAAAAATATCGGAAATGTAAAAGCCTTAGAATTTTGCTGTTGATCAGGGGTTTTTCAAATGGTTTTGTCAGCAAAGGAGTAAAAATCTGACCTGGAACGAAGAGAGTTAAAGATAAAGAATTGCTCGAAACGTTTTAAAAAGCCATAATATAACCAGTGGGAAAACTTGAACTAAGGCGGCTTTTACATGATAAAAATTCATTAACACAATTAAATTAGAACAAAAAATGTTCAGATATTCACACTTATTCATTGGTTCATAGACAGCTGTTTCGGCAATACCGTGCCGTAATGAAATACAAAATACAATATCACAATTATTATTACAATATTCCGATTCTTAATTACAGGTGCAGGATTATAAATTTAAATTTGTTAATCTACATAGCTTCTCATAGATTTAATCTCTTGATTTCATTATGTAAAATATAAAAATTATCGTCAAAATTGAGCATTTCTGAATTTAAATGAATGGCGTAGTTAGAATTTTATTTTTCTACGCTCTTTTATGTTCGTTAATGCCTTTCTAAAATGTTCTACCTGTTTCTCTAATATCTATAATATATGATACATTTTAGGTCGTATACTCCGAATTTCTGAGTTATTCGCGATTTAGTTTTATGGTTTTTTAAAATTTTTTCCTATGATGTTTTCAGTTTTAAAAGCAATTTTGTTAAATTTAAATTTATAGCCCTACAACGGTAATTAATAATCTATTACTTCCTGTTTATATATATATAGATGTCACGATATTCCCATTTTTGGTATTTGATAAACGTTGTTGCCGAAACAGCTGTCAAAATCGAATAAATAACTGTAAAAATCTGGACATTTTTTGGTCTAAGTTAATTGAGTTAAATGGATTTTCATCAAGTAAAAGCCACCGCAGTTCAATGTTTGAACGAAGCTAAAAATTGTTTCTTGGCTATTTGATATTTTAAACTATTACTACAATGGCGACTATACGTTCAAACCATTTCGTTTTTTCAACAAGTGCTTACACAACAGAGTATATCTGAAATTTATGAAACTAACGCTCAAGAACGAAAGAACCACGAAGACATCAGTACAACAAGAGAGATACACATTGGATTTATGTAAAGGCCTTGATCTCAGACTCAAACACATAAAAAATATCTAAGACAAAAATACAAGTTGCACAATTTAATAAAACCCACTAAAAAGCAGTCAGTGATGTCAAACTTTTCTAATAATAAACTTTATGACAGGTTTATAAATTACTAGCTTTAGCTAAAAATCTCAAGTTTCAATTAACAGTAAATTTCATGATCTCTTACATATGTCTATGGTCAATTCAATTTAAAATGAGGCTTTTTAAAATGATATAGTATTTCCAGGAGCACGTACACAAAGGACAGTCATAGCTATCGATTCTCTAGAATATATTACAAATACCAAACAGTTTCTTAAGTCAGACCATATACCAGAGCATACAATATCATATCATCGAGTAATGTCAAAAACAAATCACAAACACAGAGAAAAACAAGTAATAATTACCACCAACCTCCAAAATGTGTTTTCAAAAATTTTGTGTTAATGTTAAAAACATTAAAATAATAAAGCATAATAAAAATAATGGACAATATTCTCACTCAGAGGGAAATCACCCTCACACGCATAAAATGGATGCCTTTTATTTTATCTACATCCCACTTTCCACTGAAAATTAAAAAAAAAAATAATATTAGGAAATAAATAGCTTTTAGCAAGAGTTATGTCCCCTTTGAACTCTGCTCATCTCATATTAAACACTGAAGTCAAAATTTAAAAAATAATAAAATACATAGGAGAACTTAACAAGAAAGTTTCGAAACATTTATCTAAATTTGGTCTCAATATTTAAAACTGAAAACACCATAAGCAATTTTTAAATAACAATAAATCTAAATCACGAAAAATTCAAATATCCGGAATCTAAAACTTGAAATGTGGATCATGTCATAAAATTTATATCGTACATACAGGTAGAACATTTAAGAAAGGCATTAACGAACACGAAAGAGCGTATAGAAATAAAAATTACGATTCTAACTATGCCATTTGTTTAAATTCAGAAATGCACAAGTTTGATGACAATTTTGATGTTTTACATAATCAATCAAAAAGCAAAAAACCGTCCGTATGTAAGCGATTGGCTGCAAAACAAGTGGCCAATAATTTGAAAGGCAGTTTGGGTGAGGACATATTCAATGGACATAAAACTGGATTAGTCTGCAAGCTTACGCCTGATGGATGGAATATTGACATGCGTAGACGAGAAATGTGAAGGTGGAAAAATTCCCAAAAAAAAAATCACTGTGCTGATGATGACCAATTTAAGATTAACAGAGAAAAGAAAGTTATTGGTGATTGGGAAATCCAAAAACTCTAGATGTTTGAAAAATGTGTTATAGTTGCCAGTATTACAGTTACAGTATTACAAGTTAGAGTTTATGCCAGAAAATATCAGACCCAAACTACAGCTTATGGCAATGGTTTATAGAGCCATTATCCCCCGAGTTCTTCTTTCGAAAATGGTAGATTTTATTAGGTGGAATAAACTTTATATGGCATGGTAGAGGGTATAACAAAAAATTTTTTTTAATTGTTTAATTGAATAGTTGCATAATGATGCTTTTGTTACTTTTGCGTCTGCTTCAGTTTATATAGATAACGATGAGCAGTCGGAAGATGAAGTACGGCATTGAAATCATTAACAACCACATCATAGGCAGCTTAACATTCGTCGTTTTTTTACATTACGATATACTCCGCAAAGTATTCTTAATCAATTGATAGAAGTAGAATTACACATTAATGATATTCATTTCACGAAAATAAGACAAACTTAAAATTACTTTTAAGAATAATTAATTAACTAATGCTATATACAATATTACAAAATATGCACCTCCATATCTACGTATTAATAAATGTATTAATAAATATATTAATAAAAATATTTTTTTATAATTATCAGCATTTATCGTTTATTGCTAACTTTGTCTAAAAAAAATCCTATTAAACTGTCTTTGAATGTATCTTAAACTTCTCCGACTTGCAGAGTGTTTGGATGTCTTACATACCTTTAGATTTTCATTTCTGTGAAATGTTTTACACAGCTTGTAACGATTGCCTATATATGATATTATAAAGCATGGTTTCTTTCATATTTTTTATTTTTATTTACAAAATCCTATAAATAATATATTTCGGAAGTAGAACCTTCTTCACGTTTTCAAGAAACATCAGGCGCCAAGTTCTTTTCATTATTGATAAACTTGTTATAAAAACCAAAATTAAAATAGATACATCAAATATAAAATATTGTGGTAATGCTAACGTTCTATATTTTACTTTTTCTGTTTTCGATGGAATAAAAGTTCGTGCCTACCTCAACATGGGATCTGTGCGAAGTTTGTCCAAAATAGTGGAATAAGGTACTCCCAATACTCGATCGATGACGTGGATTATGCCGTTTTTGGCGGCTAGATCTTCTTGAATCACGGTAGCGTTGACTCCGCCTCCTTCCACCGTCAGCGTTCGGTTTTTGCTGTTTTTCGCTATGTTAAAATAGAGATTCTTGCCTTTGGCTAGGGACGGCGCTTGGTGAATCTGAAAGAGAATACGTAGGTATATCATACAGTACGTAATAACATATAACATATGAGTTATGAGCCGCCTTGTTATGTATTTTTATAGCAATACCAAGGCACTAGTGCGTCAATCCTCAAAGAAAAATAGGACTGGCAAATACAGTACAAGGGTGCGATAGAGTAAAGTTCATTATTTCATTGGTTTAAAAAATTATGAGAAAATGATAAATACAAAAATGGTAAAGATTATTAGGATGCACAATTTAAAATTATTTTAAAGTTTACAGGGTTGTTCAAAAAAGCGTCAATAAAACATACGTTATTATAAATTCTTCAACTTTTTTTATTAATAGCAACACATACCTAATACATATTTTAATACTTCTACAAAATTTTCATTCAAAAAAATGGTAGATTTTGCACAACAATCACGATAGCGCCATTATTTTTAAAGGAAGTTCACTAATATTTTGCTTTTAACGTTATTAGAAGATAAAGTAAAAGATATATACAACGGAATTTGCAGTAGTTGCTACAGAGTCTTTAAAATAAATATATTGGATCATTTCTTAAATGGCATAACAAATATATTATTATTTTTTCTGAAAGATCTTCGAAAAATCTTCAACTTTTATTAAGTATCTCATGTACAGATTTTTAATACTTTCATTTACCATTTATATACTAGGTGAGGCAGCAAAAATAGTTCGTTGGCAGTAAATACACCGTTATAAATTAAACAATAGTGGCCGATTAATTTTTTTTCTCTAAAATAGCGGTTATTATTATTATTCAACAGTTAATCTATTTTGGGTACGGGAAGTGTAAAACCCAAACCTTTGGTCACTTAATGTGTGGTGTGGAATAAAACATTTTAAAAGTTATCGGACCATATTTTTTAGCGAACCACTTCACGTGCCTAGATATTTTAACTTTTTGCAAAATGGTTTACCTCCACTTCTTGAAGAAGTTGATGATAGCAATGCAATCGTGTATATGAATATCCCCTTACAACACCAGAAGATATAGGAAATACGATTCGGGAGGTGTGCAGGAGTATAAGACCGTTTTTGCTAAGAAACTTCCAAGAAAATATAGAAAAGAGGACTAAGCATGTTTATCGAAGTACAAGGGCATATTTTTGAACATTTATTGTTAATTTGTAGTAATAGGTATTTAATATTATTTAGAATTTATAATTTGGTAATAACTGTCTGTTGCTTTATCTACGGCTCGAACAAAGTTTTTTCTCCTGTTCACCAGTTGCCGTTTTAATGCATCTTCCATCTTCTTTTCATAATAATTTTTTGTATTAAGAAAAAATCCAGAAAAAGTCAACCTATTGTCCACAGCCTGTAGAAGTTTATTAGAAAATTCTTGAATAGGTTAATCACTACATAAAACGTTTTTTAAATACACAATTTTTTTGCTTTTACTTTTTTAAAAATATTTCATACCCTTTCATTAGCATGTTATATTTCAGTCTCCACATAATGAGCTACATAATGAATATGCATCCGAGCTTATTTAAATGATACGATTTAACTGTGGTATATTGCCCAGCGACACTGCCCAGCTTCTGCGTCTATACTGAGCATTAAATTACATCCGTCTCTTTTTTATTGGTATACAGAGAAATCAGTCCGTCCATCTAAGACGCTTTGTATTAAATGTGTATTTTAAAAAGGAAAATTTATAAAAGTGCTAACGGTTAATTAAATTTTTTCTTTGCATCCAGAAGTCCTAGGAGCATTTTTTGTTTATTTCAGAGTAATAATATTTACTCTCCAAAACTACTTGAAAATCAACAACCAGTAACACACAAACAAACAAAAATTTAATCCAGTCTAGCCCAGAAACTAATAAAAAAATTGATAATATAATGGACGAATGATGGAAATACAGCAAAATCAGAACACCGATGAAGACTCAAAGTTCAAAATAAGCAATAAAATAATATAATGCGACGTTGCCATTTCTCTGAGAAAGTATCCTCGAAAAGGACTTAAAATAGCCCTCAAAATGAAAAAATAATATACGCGCCTGTAGACAATCGCTACGCCACGTGGTGCCAATTTCGTGAACTAAAAAAAATATATATTTCCCATATCATGAACGAAATTGCTTCCGGACCATTTGTTACCACAGTTCTACTGCAACTCCCAGAAAGGCAAACTAAAACGAATCAGAGAGATATGGCGAATACTGAGTGAATCGTTTAAATTTAGTATATTAATATTCGGACGTAAAATAGTCATGGACGCGAAATGTAATATGCTTTTGCATGTTGGTGGATGCAAAATAGTGCGCAGGATATATATATATATATATATATATATATATATATATATATATATATATATATATATATATATATATATACATATATATATATATATATATATATATATATATATATATATATATATATATATATATATATATATATATATATATATATATATATATATATACTATATATATATAAACATATATATATATATATATATATATATATATATATATATATATATATATAT